CGCCACGTCAGGCCCGGCGGCACGCCCCGGCCCGAGCCGGCCACTGTCGGGGTCGGCGCCGAGGTCACTCACACGCTGCGCATCTCCGCGCCGGCCCGTGCCCGCCGGGGAGCCACGAGGGAGCCCAGAGCCTCTCTTGATTGATCCGGCGGCCGTGGATCCGGCCCCACGTTGTCCTTTCGCCCCGGGATCCCCAGTGACACGCCTGGGCCGTGCAACGGGGAGTGAGGACGGTGCCGCCGCGACCGTGCCGCGTTCAGCCCACGTGCCCAGCACCTGCCGTGCACGGGCTGCAGGCGCCAGGCTGCGGGGAGCGCAGCACCCAGTCCCGACCTGGAGACGGCGTGCAGCTCCAGTGCTGCAGAGGCGGCGCCCACACCTCGTCTTCCCGACCTTCCGGGAATTAAATTAAATTGCACTGCTCCGAAGGCAGAGAAAGAACGAACGAAAAAGGGGAAAGAAAAGGGGGGAGGGGAGGAAAGGGTGACACTGGTCTCGGAGTAGGGGGCGCCCTGGAAAGTCACTTTCCTATCCAGGCGTGGGGACACCTGAGCTCCTTCTCCCTCTGTCCCTCATCAGCTGAGTGACCCACATCCAATCACAACGTGTCCCAGGGCCCCGGGCTTTCCCTTCTGTGAAAAGGAAGAGGCAGGGCAATTTTTCTAAAAGCCTTCCAGCCCTGAAATGCTTTGGGGCTGTCGTGCAGGCCCCGGAGCAGGCTTTCACACCCAATTAAAACTTGAAAGTCCATATTAGCATGAGAGAGAAAGACACACACACAAATAATGGAAGGTTGAGGACTGCCATCAGCCCACCTGAAGTTTGTCTGCAGCTGTTGACCAGGTGGATATTGAACATGCGCCCTGCAGGGGACCGAAATCTCTTGAATTTCAGTCTCCACCGAGAGCCCACAGCAGGTTCACTGCTGGTTGATGCCGGACCCGCATGGGATGGATGGCTGCCGGCTACAGTATGAGTTGCCAAGTCCCTTCATTCTTCCTATTCCCCAGGAAGGCCCTCCAGAGGAGATGACACAAAACTCTGTGTCCCGGAGACGAGAGAAAGGGCTGGGAGAGAAGTCACAATGACAGCTCTGATCTCCCCTCGAGCGTACTTAATAACAACCACAGTCCAGGGTAAGAATGCACAGAAACACAGCTCCCTGCACCACTGAATTAAATACCGCTTCCCTTTGCTGATGGAACCTGTTGGGTCAAATGGAAGACCAGCCACATCTCATTTGCCTTACCCCCGAAGAGCAGAAGCTGTCCTGTAGAAATGAAATCTTTTAGCTACTCTATAGTATGTAGGTCTATTTGTCCCCTAGAATGCTGTATCTTCATCATTTTAAACTTATGTCTGGTGTTTTTTTGTTTTTGCGTGTGGCTTTTTCATCACTACTGGGCTGACACTTCTCCATTTTTCTACTAACAATCATGTGTGTGTGTGTGTGTGTGTGTGTGTGTGTATTTTTCTATTCTATGAACTTAGATACAGATAAACTTTTATTAGATTAGACTCTCAGGTTTTAACTAATGGTTTTTGTGGGGTTCTCCTGTGGGTTAAGTACTAGAGTTCTTGTGATACCTATTTTGACTGCTCAGCGACTGGTTTTCACTTATTTCTTAAATCTTCGTGACTGAGGCGTCTGGATATGCACTCTCTTGAAAAGCTATTGCAAAGGATGGCTCTAAATCCCAGAATTTACAGGGATTTGACATATAAACTGATAAGAATCAACACCATCAACATCAAAATCTAGCACCACTGACCTAATTTCCCATCAGGCAATGGAATGTCCACAGCCAGGCGGTGGCAATGCTCTCCAGGTCCCTAGGAAGCCCGAGAAGGGGATATTTTCCCCCCATTTTATAGATGAAGAGTTGTCCCACATTGTGCCCTGGTTACACAACCATTCAGTGGCAGAGATGGGGATTCAAACTTGGAACTGCTGGGACCTAAAGCCTGTAATTCTTAAACGTTATACCAAAATCTTCCCTTCTGCTGAAACCGGTTTGGCTCAGTGGATAGAGCGTCGGCCTGCGGACTGAAGGGTCCCAGGTTCGATTCCGGTCAAGGGCATGTACCTGGGTTGCGGGCACATCCCCGATAGGAGATGCACAGGAGGCGGCTGATCGATGTTTCTCTCGCATCGATGTTTCTAGCTCTCTATCTCTCTCCCTTCCTCTCTGTTAAAAATCAATAAAATATATTTTAAAAAAAAATCTTCCCTTCAACCTTAGCTTCCAATTCCAAGTTTATCAAGGAACCTGTTAGTAATTGATTTGGCACCTTGTAAAGGAAACTCCCTGTATAGGCATTTTGATTGAGGTCACCAAAAAAAGGAATAGCATTTTGCCAGTTTGAGGAATATTGTTACTTGTTTACTTTGGGGGAAAAACTGGTATCATCAAGATCCTAAAACTATAAAACAAAGGATTAGACCCTCGGTGAGACCTGCAGAAGTGATGCCCACATAATGGTCAAAATAACCTTAAAGAAGGAGAATGCTGGAGGACTCACATTTCTTGACTTCAAAACTTACTACAACAGTACAGTAACCAAGAGAGTGTGGTACTGGCATAAGGTTAGACATACAGAGCACTGGAATAGAATTGAGAGTCCAGAAATAAACCTTTAATTTATGGTCAACTGACTTTCAACAAGTGTGCCAAGACATTTAAATCGAGAAAGACAACTGGATATACAAATGCTAGAGAATGAAGTTGGATTTCTACCACACAACATACACCATAAATCAAAAGGGATCATACACTTAAGCATAAGAGGTAAAAATACAACAAAACTCTAAGAAAAAAAATATAGGAGTAAATCTTCAGGATCTTGGGGTAGGCAACGGTTTCTTTTTATTTATTTATTTATATATATCTTTATTGATTTCAGAGAGGAAGGGGAGAGGGAGAGATAGAAACATCAATGATGAGAGAGAATCATTGATTGGCTGCCTTGCTGAGGATTGAACCCGTAACCTGGGCATGTGCCCTTGACCAGAATCAAACCTGGGACCCTTCAGTCCGAAGGCTGATGCTCTATTCACTGAGCCAAACCAGCCAGGACGGCAACGGTTTCTTATGTGTGACACCATATAAGGAAAATGTGAATAAAGTGGACTTTGTTAAAATTAAAAACTTTTACTCAAGCAACCAAAGGAAAAAAAAACAACCAGATACATTGAACATCAAATCAGGAAACCCTTTGTGCTTTGAAAGACACCATTAAAAAAGTGCAAAGGCCCTGGCTGGTTTGGCTCAGTGGATAGAGTGTTGACCCATGGACTGAAGGGCCCCAGATTTGATTCTGCCAAGTAGGTTGCAGGCTCGATCCCTCGCCCTGGTCAGGGCACATGCAGGAGACAACCAATCGGTGCACCTCTCTCACCTCGATGTTTCTCTCTGTCTCTCCCCCTCCCTTCCATTCTCTCTAAAAATCAATGGGAAAATATCCTCGGGTGAAGATTAACAACAACAACAAAACAAACAAACAAACAAAAAGAGCAAAGAAAGACACCGACAGAATGACAGGCAATACTGGCCAATCCTATGTTGGCTAGGGGCCTGGGAATTCAGTGGAGCACATGGGTGCTTTTTAGAACAGGAGTGAAGGGTATCACTAGAAAGCTCTTTAGCCTTTCTTTTCAGGCTCTTGTTCAAGCAAATAGTAAAGAGAGCTGGGGACGCCTTCATCTTAAAGCACCTCCAAGATCATTTAAAAGCACGTTCAAGCACCGTTTCAAACCTAGAGGCTTGTGTTCAGCCAAGCGGCCCTTGCTCAGACGCTTCCTCTTAGGCCTGTGTCATCAGGGACCGGACTTCGAGCCTGGAAGTTTTATCTAGTTGTATCCCCTGCTTTTAGTCAGGAATGTACTTCAAAGCACGATCCCCCTTGACAGTTCAAATCTCCCACGGGTCTGCTTTTGTAAACAGTGGCGTGTCCTAATCTTAAAAGGTCTTGGGGAGAAAAAAGAGGTGGTTTTGCTGTTCACCGTGATAAGACAGACTTCCTTGAGCATCTCATTCCCTCTCTGTGTGCCTCTCTGCTTCTCTTTGCGTCCCGCAAGCACTCCTGGGGAAGTCCCATCTCAATCCAGTCTGGAGGGATCAAATGTATGAAAGGCAGCTGGTATTTAAAGAATACGTTCATTCACAAATACTTAAAGGGTGTCTGTGATGCATCAGGTAAAGTGCGAGGTTCTGGGAATACAACAATGAACAAGATAGACAGGGTCCTTTGGCCTCATGGCAAATTATTTTGTGAAATAAATGCCCACTAATTAATTACTTTTATTAACTTTGATTAATAACCTTAATTTGGCCCTGACTGGTTTGGCTCAGTGGATAGAGCAGGGGTCCTCAAACTTTTTAAACAGGGGGTCAGTTCACTGTCCCTCAGACTGTTGGAGGGCCGGACGATAGTTTAAAAAAAAAACTATGAACAAATTACTATGCACACTGCACATATCTTATTTTGAAGTAAAAAAACAAAACAGGAACAAATACAATATCTGTATTTGCATGTGGCCCGAGGGCCGTAGTTTGAGGACCCCTGGGATATAGTGTCGGCCTGTGGACTGAAGGGTCCCAGGTTCTATTCCGGTCAAGGGCACATGCCCGGGTTACGGGCTCGATCCCCAGTGCGGGGCGTGCAAGAGACTGCCGATCCATGATTCTATCTCATCATTGATGTTTCTATCTCTCTCTCCCTTCCTTTCCCTTCTTCTCTGAAATCAATTTTTTAAAAAAGCTTAAAAATATAACCTTAATTTGCAGGTATTTTAATTAAGGTTAAAAAACCATCTCTACTGCACTGGCCGGCTGGCTCAGTTGGTTGGAGTGTCATCCTGTACACCAAAAGGTTTCAGGTTCAATTCCCAGTCAGGGCACATACCTAGGTTACAGATTTGATCCCTGGTCTGGGCGAGTACTAGAGGCAAGCGATTGATGTTTCTCTCTCACATCTATGTTTCTCTCTCTCTCTCTCTCTCTCTCTCTCTCTCTCTCTCTCTCTCTCATCAATAAACATATCCTCGGGGGAAGATTAAATAAATAAATTTTAAAAAATATCTATACTATATAGCCTAGGAACTAATGGAGACTATAGATGTGTATTTTCTAATCAACTGGTTTGTTTTATTAAAGGCATTATGGGCCTCTTATTTCAAGAAGAAACCCATCCTGGTGCAATTTAAACCCATCTTGTCTTGTTTAAGCTTCAAAA